GAGCAACATTCTCCAGTGTTGACAAAATTGCCAATCCAATTTAATTAGTAATAATAATAATAAAAAAGTCTCAGCTCGGTCCAATTGAACTTATTAGACTGGATTGAACTTTCCTTGGATTTTGTTGTGACAAAAATAAGATTAAAAAACAATTTAACGTTTAAATAACAAGGTATTATAAGAAAAAAAATACCGAGGTTGATGAACCACGAAAAAATTTCATTCTGGAAGTTATGCTGAGGAATTAGAAATACAAGAAAGTGAAATAAGTAATAACGACAACCTTTTATAGGACACATTGGAAACAAGGTTAAATGGAATGCAATGATGTGTTGGTGAATGGAAATGCTGATGAAATATTAGAAGAGGAAAAAGAGGAAGAATAAATAGGATTAATTGAAAGATTCAAAAGGATTAGACATCTAGCTATTAATAAACAGAAAGGAAAGTGAGAAATACAAAGAATTTTTGGATATAAAATAAATCATCATGTTTTAAAAATATAATTTTCAATTGTAACCGTAAATGCTGAAATATGATCAATTCACAGCATTGGCATTCTCAAGAAGAGGAATAATCGTGACTTTGTCCAGTATATAGTGTAAATAATAGTAGATTGGATTTCAAATAATATAGTCACCAAACTTTAAACCTTTATAGTAAAAAAACTTTCTATGGTACGCGAAGTTTATGACCACCATTTTTGCACATAATTTTTAAAAGAATAGAAGCCCATTCCTGTCGATTATTTTAAAAAATAACTCTTTTATTATTGTATAGATTGAGACCCAAACTCTGTTGTGACAGAGATTTTTTTTAAAATATAGTTTGTTAGCACATGTATTTTACTATTAGAGCGAAAATCTTGGATAAATTTAGTATATATTATGATTCCATGAATATTTTTACCTTTAAACCATTTGAAAAAATTGTCTCATTTTAAATATACTTGCCGTAAATAGCTTACCATTTTCCGTAAATAATTACGGCTGCTGCAAATAACTACTACGACTGCTGCAAATAGTTTTTAAGATTAATATAATTATTGTGAGAAAAATTTTCTTAATTGTGATCTGCATCAACTAAATTTTTTTTGATGAATTCAACTGGTCAGTCGTTCATTTACAGTGAATTATGTGTAAAAATAAAAATTGTAATTATTTGCAGCAGCAGTATCTATTTGCAGCAGCCGTAGCTGTTTGCGGAAATCGCATCTATTTGCAGCCGTATCTATTTGCGGCAGCCGTAAATATTTTATAAATGGTAACTAGTCTATGATAGTTACCATTGCCGCAAGTAATCAATTACGGCAAGTGCCTTTAATCCCATTTGTCATTGGTGTTGGATGTTTATAGAAATGGATTAACATGACTAGAAGCTTTATATGCAATAACTGGATATAAATAGTGATGGGCGTTTGATGAATCTCATAGAAAAATTCCAAATAATGTTATTAAAAACATATATAAATTTATTATTTACAAATCGAGAAATTTTCAACTTCAAAGGCCACTGGTTTTGTGGGTTTTGACTAATTTTGCTTTTTAGGACAGATCCGAGAGTAATCTACGGGCAAAACAATAGTCGAATCCGGGATTTCGACTATAATCTGCATGCGCCAAGGTTTTGTAATTTACAAACATGTGAAAGAATCGAATGTTGTTAATTGACATATTAAAATTCATGTGAAAATATATACAACATTCTAACATGTAAATTTTTTATTCATTTCCTTACTTCTCCAGTGTAGATGATAAATGAAAGAAAAAGAAAGATCGTAAGTTTTTTTGCATTCATTCATACATTCACAATTCACGATTTATTTTTTTGGTAGTAATTATTGTTGATCCTTTAAACTGGTTTGTCCAGTTATTCATTTTATTCATTGAGGGAAAACAAAAAAGGTTTTCTTGTTTTTCATTTTCAAAAAAATGCACATGTAACCCAATCCTTTTTATTTTTTGTTTTGTGATGTATGTATGTATATGTGTCGTCATATGTTTGATCCGCCAAGTTTAGAAATTTTTGGGCATTATTTAATAAATTCATTCATACGCTACATGATTTGTTTAGAACAAATAGTTTTATAAGATAATAATTATGCATCTTTGAATTTTAATTTTTATTATCTGCAATTTTTTTTACCAATCCGTCGTCATAAACATATCGTAACCACTATATGTCAATTCATTCATAAGGTAAATGCCGAATTTTAATTCATTGTCTCCGACAAATAATTAAATTCTTTTTTTGGAAACAATTTTTTATTTACAGAAAAAAAAATTTTTTTTAAAAATTACAATTTTCAGGAAAGTTGGGGAGGGGGTTTTTTTTTTTTTTAATTAATAAAAATCAATTAATTACAAACAAATTAGAAATTTACAATGATAGTGATTATTATTAAATAAATAAATCAAAGTAATATTTTTTTTGACGCGTAAAAGGAATGTAAGGAATTATAAATTAAGAATTAATGAGGAAATTAAAAAATTAAAAGAAAGTAAATCTTAACATATAATGAAATTATATTTTTTTCCAATTTATCTTGAATTAATTTATTATTATTATTATTATTATTATTATTATTATTATTATTATTATTATTATTATTATTATTATTATCATCATCATCATTATTATCATTATATAATTATAATTATAATTATTGTTAATGAAAGAATATTTTTAAAAAAGAAACATCCTTAAACTTAAATTTGTAAAAGTAAACTTCTACATTTTTTATTTTTTACCAAATTATTTCATATTTTGAAAATTTCACATCTTGTAAATTTATTTCAGCAAATTGAATATTTGTTGTTGTATTTTGAATAATTGAAGCATTGTGAGCCAAAACATTTAAGCAGCTTGTCATAGCACAAGTGATTTGAGTCACTATCCAATTCATTGCTTGTTGTATTCGTAAATAATCGTAAGAAAAATTAATTAAATTGATTTTAATTTATAATCGTTAAAAATTTAATTAAATTGAATTTTTTGAGTTTTTGATTTTTTTTTTTTGTAAAAATTAAATTCTCTCAAGGAAAAAATGTATATTTTTATATAAAGTCAAATATTATAAATTGATTTATTTTATTGGCCAAATAATAATGACAATTAATACATAAAATAAAAACAATATGAATGAATCAAAATTCAAAACACTTTCAGTCTAACGTTAAACAATTTTATTCACTAAGTAATCACGTGATAAAGAGAGAAAGGCGAAGGGTGCATAATGCATTATTATTTTTTTTTTTTTATATATTAATTAATTAAATAATTTTTGGCTAGCCTGATTTGAAGTTAGCTGGTAAAAATCATCGTCGGACCATAATAGATGCAATCTAGCAGTCAATTAACGGTGGGAATAAAGTGGAATAAAGTGGGACTTGTCTAGAAACGTTCATTTACTCATTACTATAGCAACTAAAAAGTCTTATTATAGTTAATCGAGAATCGATAAAATGATTATTGATTAATGCCGAATCCTTCGCCTCTCGCTTGCATGTGCGTATTAGGATGATGATAATGTATATTATATAAAATTCTCACATATTTTTTTGTCAGAAAAAATGACAACAGAGAATGATAATTATGCAAAGAGTACCTAAACTTTGGATACAACAATAATATTTGATCAAAACGTACTACATTCATTATCAATTGCATGCATAAATGTTTTAAGGTTCGTAAAGAAGACGACAACGAACCACAATGATAAAATAAATTTTTTACAAAATCCGGAATAAAGCTGAATAAAGCTCCGCTTAATTTAATTATTACTTTTATATTATTATATAACTTTTTAATAAATTTTTTTTAATTTAAACATAAAAGATTTCTTTTGTTTCTCTTATTTTAACTTGATTGAATGTGCGTGTCCATAGTAAAATTTAATACCATATAGTGCTAAGAATATTATTATTGTCTTTGAGAATGAGATCTGTAAGGGACGACGAATAATAATAATAATAGTAATAATAAAATTAACAACAAATAATAATAATAAAAATTGAAAAAGTCGCCGTAATTTTGAAACCTTATTATTATTTTTAGCACTCGCTGCTGTACAAGAACCCTACATCACATAAAAACCTTTCTATGAATTGGAATCAATTACTTACCATTGGTCACAATTTTTCTATAAGAATATTTTCAGAAAAGTTACTGTATGGCGGGTTTGCCTGTATATTATTATTAATCAATAGTATCCCTCGTTGCAAGCAAAATCATTTTTAAATTTTCATTATTAATACTACTACCGAGGCAGCTTGAGAGGGAGTATATTGTGAGGCATTTGGGGGTTTTAAAAAGGGTAATTCCAAATGTGGTGGTAAATCTCATTGAATAATATCATTGGGGGTTTATTTATTAATTAATTATTAGTTCCACTACCGAAGCAAGCTTGGGGAGAGGGTAGAATGTGAGGAACTCGGGAGTTTTAAAAAGGGTAATTCCGAATGTGATGGCAAACCCCACTGAATAATATTATTGGGGTTTATTTATTAGTTAATTATTAGTTCCCCCTCAGCATTGGTTTTTTTTCATTTTTATAATTCATTCAATTCATCCATTCATTCACTTTTTCATATTCCTTTCATGTTCATCTCATATCCCTTTCGTTCCAAATTAATATTGAATATTGAATTTTTATTTTTTAATATGATAATAAGAAGTCTGTCTTCTCGTTGAATGGGGTTGTTGTTTACCGACTAATATTGATGTATGTATTCATTAATTTTGTTAGTTATGCCCATCAAAGATCTATTGATCGATATTCTATAATTCCTATCGATTTAATAGTTTTACGACATAATAATTATGCAGTTGATCTTGTACAAATCGTAGACTACTTTTTTTAGATTATGTTCAATTAATAATAATATTTATTGATTATGTATGTATGTTGATACAAAATAAATAAATAAATAAATAAATTAGAAGTTGCATAAACTAATCAATTGATTAATTTACCAATCATCATCCATCCATCCATCCGTTCAGTGTCGTTCATGAATGTAGTTTTTAAATTTTCCATTTAAATTTGAACTTTTTCGACGAAGTTTTTTTGTCCATTTAAGTTCTGAACAATATTTTTTTGATCTTTTAATGAACAAATTGGCCATTCTAATAGAAATCATATCCTCACAATTCATGTTAGCACCATGATCTGTCAATAATTTTGTCAATTCCCAATCATGATGTATCAAACATAATGACAACGGTCTACCGTTATCAGCGTTTGGATTTGCACCTGATTTCAATAATAGTTCAATTATGTATCTTCTTTTTACGTAGTTTTCATTTTTTAAATAGCATTGAATAGAAAATTCCAATAGACTTGTTGAGCCAAAATTTAACAAGTCGTTTGGAGGTGGTATATCAAGATTTGCACCTGATTGGATGATCGTTTTAATTGATTCAACATCTGCTTCATCAATGCATAATCTTAAATATAATGTGTTGTTTTTTTGTAATTCACCAACCCCTTGCCTAAATGCCCATGCAATACCTTTGGTGTATTGTCTGTCAACACATTCTTCCAATACGTCTAATGTGTGTTGAGGATGTAAAGCTAACAAGCTTGCAATATCCAACCGTTCATGTAATACGATAGAGAATGCTAAATCTGTATCTTGGAAGAAGGTCTTTGAATTTGCTAATTGATTTTTAAATTCTTTTGAAGTTTTGATTGGTGTAATCAAATTGGACAAATAGTCTTTTTGAGATTTCTTATCGGGATCAGATCCCTCCTTTGTTAATAAAAAGTCTTCGTAACATAAATCTTTTATATATCGTTCAATCATTAAACCTTTATGAATTAGATAGGGTATTAATAAATAATCTTCTTTGTGTTGACTTGCACATTCAAACAGTTTTGTTATTGAACCATTATTAGATGAAGCCAAGGGTTTCTCGTGTATTTTAATTAAATCTATTATTTGCATCAATATATGAAATGGTGTTTTTGTTTTGACTGCTCTACACAAGTCAGAATATTTTGGTAAGAATGCATCGGGTAGTTTTGGATTTAACCAATTCCTTAGCCAACGACGCTTAAAAATTGGCGAAGTTAAAGTTATATTGTAAAATTGGCGACATACCAATGCTAGATTATTTGGTTCCGGTATAAATATTAAAATATTTTCTAATATTTCTGTGATTAACAATATTCTTGTCTTGTTATTATCTGATGATACTAGGAAAGAAAAGTTGTTGGAGACAGAAGTATTTGATGGTGAGGACGGTGAGGACGGTGAGGACGGTAAGGGAGACGGAGGAACACTGTCAGCATAAGTTTGATTATTGTTGTCACCATTATTATTACTGCTACTACTAATGATATTGTCGTTATTGGTGTTTATGTAAAAATTTCTCATGTCTTTGATGATGGTTACTAATGGTAAACTGTCTTTATTAATATTGGTGTAGCTGTTATTATTATTTTTATTATTATTATGAAAGATATTTATTATTACAAATAATTAAATAAAAAGAGTTACAATGATTATTACAATGACACAATGTGGTTATCAAGTGCTTTGTGCTACATGAGTTTTAAACGAATGTATGTATCACCAATTATATATCAATCGCATGACATTTTTTAACTAACTGGTTATTATTATTAAGATGCTCTAGCTATTATCTTATTATTGAACTGCATTAGATTTTTGTGGTCGGCTAATTCGAAGCAACGCGGTCTCGCATGATTATCTTTCGATTTTATTTTATTTGTTTAATGTTAAATTTAAAGTTTTCATATAAAATTTATTTTCATAAATCATTTGAGATCATCGGCCATTATGTAATAAATTAATATTGTTGCACAAAATTTAAAGTTTCAAAATGTAAAATATTCCAAGGCTCAAGAAATTTCATCGATTATCATTTTTTAAAGGCGTTCAACTGCCATTATAAATAACTTTTGGTTGTATACAATCACCATCTAAAGACATCAAGAAAATTGCTAAAAACAAACTACATGGAGGTCAAAAAAAGGTTATAAGGGTTTAAAGTTGCACGATTTTATGATGGCCGCTTCCCTTTACTCGAAAATAACGTGATTTTAAAAAAATTTCCGTGCTATAATAATAATAATGATGATAATGATCCCAAATCATTGATATTATTTATTTGGTAAATCAATTCATGAAATATATCCACTAGTATTAGTATATAATCTATATCAATATGTAACTAATAATTTTTTTTTAGTTTGTATTTCGAGATCTGACCACGTGGCACAGCATTCGATGCCTTTAAATGACGCACACTATAAAAATGGGAGTAAGTCTTAAAGAGCGGATTTGAACTGGTCCCAGCCCACGGTACTAAATTTGGGGCCCGGTCTTAACCGGTTTTATCCAAGCTCCAAAATTGGGTAAATCAAATAGATTATAAAAATGTCTAGTATTTAACAAGTATTTAACTAGTATTTAAGAGACCAAGAGATAGTATGCTACTTGTGGTTACACGTGTAAAGCTAGTTTGCAGATAGTGGAGGGCCTAACCTTTTTGGGACACTATATCTATATTAATATACAAGCCAGGCCCTAGTGGTATTTTATTAGATTTATTATTATTCAAAATATGCAAGTATTCATGTTTGTATGATGTAAATTGGAAAAAAAAATGATAATTGGCGATTATTAACCTTATTATTATGGTTTTAAAAATCCCGTTTAATTTGATTGTCCATCCATTATTATTATTGTGTCATAAAATTTTAATATGCTTGCCAGATTTTTAGATTTCGGATGTCGGATATCGGATTAGTATTTCGGTCAAGCACAAACAAGTCGATATACTGTATTTTGGACCTTTGGGTTAAGTCTGGCCCGAAACATTATGATGAGCGAAGGGGAAAGTCGAAGCTGATGAATAAGACGTTTCGAATGAAAAATTAGTGGATGGAACATTGTGATCAAGTTGATGTGCTCGTGTCATGGCTTTCTTTCTTTTGTGCGTTACAGACGTAGATTTAGATTTTTTACTTCAATATCCAATATCAAAGCTATTGTGCTATCATCCATCAAAAGTTTCACGCGACTTCTTGTGATACCCTAAAAGATAAACATAAATTCTCTCAAATGCAAATGTCTTCGGAAGTTATGGAGATCAAAATAGTCACTTTTGTTAAATATACTAGTAGGAAACAAGTATTTTAAGTGTATATAAAAATACTTTATTTTATATAAAATGTACTTAAAAGGTTACGTAAAGATACTTCAATTTTTCCCGTGTAATTAATGACTAGCATTAAAAATTATTAACTTTTTAAGGGTGGCGTTTTTCAATGGCAAGCAAGAGAATTTTTTTTTTAAGAGAAAAAGACGACTTTGAAACATAGTAAGGAATAAAGAGAGCAAGTATATATCAAACAAAAAAATAAAGTTGGATAAATTGGATGGATGACATGTAACATTTATTTATGGTGATCATTACATATGAAGACGTAGTTAACTGTTTAAATCATGTGATTTAGTCATTAGAATTTGTTTTATATATGGAGCAAAATTGTTTTTTTTTATGTTTGATGTTTTAGGCGATAATGATGTTGTCATTAACTAAAAATTTATATTATAACTTCAGAAGTTTGACAATGAATGTATATTTAGTTTGTCAACGTCACCGCAACAAAATTTGGATACGATTGATTATTGACTATATCTTTTCTGATATCATACTTTATTGGATGTGGATTATTGGAACGAGCATTGAAGAAATCACAAATTGGCCAAGAGGAACAGATGATGAATCAATTGTTTCTTCAATCCCGACCATTCATTCAATTTATCGATTTTGCACATTTTCGAAAATGTGTATTACGTAAATTCTCCTTTCATTAGCGCTGTTTCTCCATCAGTTACACCTAAAGCTATGACAACCAATCTATCTACTTTATTCGATTACTAATAATGATAATAATAATAATAATAATAATAATAATAATAATAATAATAATAATAATAATAACAATAATTAATTAAATGATTCACTTCAAAATCTTTTACGTTCATTAAAACTTACTGGCACATCATCTTAACCTCTTTATTATCATAAAATTATTGTGAATGCTCAATATTATTAATAAAAGAAGATTATAAACCACATATTCCAATTGTAAAAAAAATATTTATTAATTATTAAAATTATGAGATTAAAAAAAGAATGATTACATTTATTGTTGTTGTTAGTATAAGAACTTTTTAAAAATGCAATTTTATAATTAAATAAAACTCCATTCAATCTCAATATTCATTATGAACGACCTTTTCGATTACTTTTTCTTCAACTATAATTTTTCATCATTTTGAGTAACGGCTGTGGTTGTTGGTAAATTTTTTCTTCTATCATTCCAATATCTAAATGCCGAAAAGGCTGAAAATCCATAACACATTATGGCCACAAAAGAGAAAAATACAGCAGCTTTTGGTGAGTCACAAGTTACTTTCTCTAAATCACTAGGGTATTCTGCACATTTAATTTCGTGAGGAGTATTTAAAGCCCCAACAGTTACAAACGTTGTATTACCAACGGCAAGCAATGATGAAGTTATTGCTTCCACTAACGGAAATCTTAACTGACGTTCGTATAAAAATATTCCTGACACAACTGTTCCCACTGCTGAAACAACTAACCCGATAATAACCCAGTATGGTATTTCATTTCTTAATTGTTGCTCACCCGATGCTGTCGCTGCCATCAGACATACTGCCAACAAGTTACAAATAAATTCAAATAATCTAACTCCAAGCTGAAATGATGGTGATGGTTTGTATGCCATTTTGTGCTTTTTTTCGTATAATTCTTCTGGTGATTCGCCTTTTTTTGTCATTATTATTATTATTATTTATTTAATATTCAATATTATTACAATTTATTATTTTTATTAATAATTTAAAATTTTCTGGTTTACAAAAGAAAAAGCAAAAAGGAAAGTTCACAATTTTTTGAAATAAATTACTAATTAATATATACAAAAAAAAAATTATCATTACACGGAAAATCAACAAATAAACCTTCCGACTACCATTTATTATATTATTATTATTATTTGTGTGCTACAACGATAAATAACAACAAAAAATTTCATTTTTCAATTATCAATCGAAGGATGAAAAAGAATAGAAAAAAGAAAAAATCGCAAACAAAAAAGAATTCATAATGCATTAAATTAAAGATTGATGGATTATTTTTTTAATGTACAATGGATTATGGCTGCGGCAACAAATAAAATCTTAAGATTTATTATTATGCAAACAAAAATGCAGATTTTTTGCTGACAATTTTTCAAATAGTGTATGGATAAATTTTCCATCTAAAAGCTGTTAATTATTTATTAATCGCTATAAAAAATATTTTTTTTAGTTGCATGATAAAAATCAGCTATAAAAATCCTATTAATACTATATAACTAAAATAAAAAAAAGAGCTATTACTATATACTTGGTTTTTTCTGTACTACATATAATGGGTCCTTCCCGACCTCGCCATACAATACTTTTTAGGTAATAGTAATGGATAATCAATTTCAGAACATTCCCTAGAAACCCTATTTTTAGTACCGATCTATTGTATACTCAAAGATTATGTACCTTTTGTGTAACTTTCCATAATGTCATTTGATCATTTGATGCTGTTTCAAACAAGAATTACCACTAATATGTCTTATAGTGAAACTCAAAAGTTTTTTATCACAAGCAATAAACTTTTAGAAAATTAAAAAAATACATTTTATTTAAAGAAAGTTATCTATTACTATGGGTTTGATTAGAAATTGCAGCTTATGTAATCCAATCAGCAAGATATTGACAAGTTTCTATTTGCAAAAGCTTTTTTTGACACACGAAAAGATTATTATTATTGACTAAAATATCAAAATCCTTTATCTCTTTCAACACAGATTATGGAATAGGTCCCGTTCGATCACTTTGAAAAAGCGGAATGTTTAACAAAAGATTTTGGCAGCATTTATAGTGTCACACGATGAAAATTTACTTAATTTTGGCTTAAAAAGAATAGAGATCGAACCCAATGAATAACAGTCGTTGAATTCAAATACAAATACAAGTTCCTAACTCTAATCCTAATAATCTCTTCTTAAATTCGCACATTTTAAAAATTGTGGTGTAAACATAATAAAACGTTGACTACTAAATACTTATGTGCATGTGCAACATCCATTCCCAAGTGAGCGATTATTTAGTCAAGCTGGAAATACAAAGAACAAAACTTAATTTGATTGGTAATTTTGATAGAATGTTTTCAGATTAATAAAATTTAATTGGTTGAATATTAGTGGGTATGAATTTGAAATTTACATACACTATAACTAAGGTTTCTGGTCGAAACTCTCTTTATTAGTAGCCGAAATTGCCCAAATACTTTGGGCAAAAATTATTTTTTTATAAGCCCAAACTACTTTTTGTTATTAG